AATGCGCCCTTCCCCCTCTGTCCGTATCCCCGCAGCGCTGCAAGGACAAGCTGAACGCCCTGGCGATCTCGGTGATGAACCAGTGGCCCGGGGTGAAGCTGCGGGTGACCGAGGGCTGGGACGAGGACGGCCACCACTCCGAGGAGTCCCTGCACTACGAGGGCCGCGCCGTGGACATCACCACCTCGGACCGGGACCGCAGCAAGTACGGCATGCTGGCCCGCCTGGCCGTCGAGGCCGGCTTCGACTGGGTCTACTACGAGTCCAAGGCGCACATCCACGTCTCCGTCAAAGCAGGGCAGCCTGCTCAGGGACACGTCGGGGTGGAGAGGGGCACCCCAGGGCCACGGCTCAGCCCCCCCCAGAGCCTTCCCCGCCCTACCCGGTGCCTCCCGGGCTCCCTTCTCCCCGTCCCCGCAGGGTCCCCATCAGCCCTGCCCGCCCCGTAGGGGCTCCCCCGGGGATGCGGAGCGGAGCCCCCGAGGGCGCAGCCTACCTCCCCCGCCCTCCTCTTAGCGATCCTGCCGGCGTAGGGGTGGAGGAAAGGAAGGAGAGGGGGGAAATAAAGGAGAAGAAGAAGAAGAAGAAAAGCCCAGCCAGCTGCAGCCCCTTTTGACAGCATTTTTGTTTGGGTGATTTGCTTGCCCAGCCTTCCCACGAGCGCTGCGCCGCAGCCACACACCCTTCTCCTCCCCCCGTGGGATTTGCTGCTTTCCCCATCCAAAAAGCGTGTTCAACACAAACACTAGTGGCCGTCTTCACTGGCTGCACGCCTTACTCGCGATCGCTAATCTCCGAGTGGGAGCCGGCCAGGAAAATAAATAAGAAACGTGGTCCCCTGCCTTCTTCAGCGGTAGCCGCTAGGAAATTCCCAGATAGGGATACACAGACGCTGAAATTTTTTTTCCCTCCCCTGTGCTTACAACGCCACACGCTGTCTCAACCCGGGAATAGCTCGCAAGAAATTCCCGACTCGCCGAGTTCTTTTTCTTGACACTTTTTTGGGGGAGCAAAACTGTTGGCAAGTGCCAGACCTGCCCCGCCTCCCCG